TATATATATATATATTTATATATATATATATATATTTTTTTTTTAATTTCAAAATCCTAAAACATTATTTTTTTCAGGTTGAAATTAGATTCTGAATCCCCAGATCTTCAATGTGGTCTGAGACTTTTGGACCCTGCTGTAAACAGATTACATGTCTTTAAATATAAGCGAGCGAGCGAGTTGGATTAACCTGGGCCACTTTGATGAATTCACTGATGACAGTGGCTCTCTGCTGAGCTGTAGGCTTACTGAGAACCATGATCTGGATCCACTGGGAAACACTGTTAAACAGAGTAATGAAACGCTCCAGAATGGGATTATCCACCGTGCAGCCGTGCATCACGAAACTGTGGTAGTCCTGGAACTGAGGGGGAACAGATTTTTCATTTGCAGTATGAACTCAGACTTGAGGTCATGCTATTACGAGCACAAACACATGACTAATACTGCATTCATAAATTACGAGATTTACCAGAATTTTGCAAAACGATTTGTACTCCATATACGTTAGGTGTTCAGCCAGGGTGGAAGCGTCCAGGTGGTCAAAAAGAAGAGAGGTCTTGCGTTTCTTCTGGACGGTTTCATCCAGCTGACGCCGCCATTCATATGATGGACTACAGGCAAAACAAACAAGACATTGTATTTCTGTTCCTTGTCCAGTATGCCTAAATATCATAGTCACTACTTTTGGATTATATTGATTTGTACTGATTTTTTATACAAACAGATTAAATTTAACTTCAATAAAAAAGAAAATCAAGTTTTATATATACTAACGGCCATTAAAAAATTTACACAATATTTTAAATACACCTGTTTAAAAGGCTTTGAAATCATATGTATACATATATATATATATATTTAATGTTTGTTATGATCATCAAGGCTGCATTTTTTTTTATCAAAAATACTGAAAAAATGAAATATTGTGAAATATTATTATAATGTAAAATAATGGTTCTATTTTAATATACTTTAAAATATAATTTATTCCTGTGATGCAAAGCTGAATTTTCATCAGTCATTACTCCAGTCTTCAGTGTCACCAGATTCTTCAGAAATCATTCTAATATGACATTTTTTACATGTTATGTTATGTTGGAAACAGCTTTTGCAGCTTAATATTTTTTTGGAACCTGTGACTTTATTCAGGATTCTTTGATGAATAAAAATTTTAAAAGAACAACATTTATTCAAAGTAGAAATATCTTCTAACAATATAAGTCTGTACTATCACTTTTTATCAAATTAACACATCTTTGCTGAAAAGAATACATTTAAGAAGAGTACATTTAGAAGAATTTGGTATATTTGTTTTTAACTAGACTTTTCCATCATCTTTGACATTCTTATTTCTCATTGACCTAAGAACTTCTAGCTGTTTGAGTATCTCAGACATGCAGCTTGTTTGTGATGTTCAGTACACTATCCCTCCACATTCTCCAGCCCTCCGTATCAAAGGAGCAGCAGTTTGGGTGAGTGCTGTGCCCCTGTGACTCACATGCTGTCTATGTCGATGAGCAGACTACGCCTCACATCTCCATTCTGCTCCAGTCGCCCTTTCAGACCGCGGATCTGCTCAGCCAGTGCGGGGTTCAGGTCAAACTCAGCTGGGAACTCAGATATCCAGTACCTGACAGAGAAAGAGAGATGAAAGACAGAGAGAGCTATGACACAGAGTAGCTGTGCATGAAATATGTCTGGGCAAGACATCAGGAGGACGAGCATTTTCGGTGAACAGTCTTGCCTCAACTGCTTTATGTAAATTCACAATACACCTCTGTGATACAACCCAGCTCCCTTATGACAAAGAACATCCACATCTTTACAAGAAATATGCACTGCATGGCCAGATAGTATGTGGACACCACAGCCATGGATGCATTTGAGCGTGAAATAGGTCTGCATAAATGCATACACTTCAAAATCATTAGCATTAATAGGGAGTTCTCATTAAGGGGGCATTCACACATAACACTTTTTTGCAGTTTTTTTTTAATGCTAATATAGATGTATGTCTTTGAACTCTCCGCTTAAATATCAAGTCATTTGCAGCATCTCACTTTGACACTGCAATTGAAAAATGTGCCACTGAAGTCTCAAGACCTTGCATTTGATCCATTCTACTACCCTGCATCTCACATTTTTAAACGCAAAAACGTGTTCTGTTTAAATGGCCCCTAATGAAATTTGGAAGCTGTTAGCATCACACAGAACACATTTTTGTGTTTAAAAACGAGAAGCAGGACAGTGCAATGGAAAACCCACAAAAGTCTTGAGACACTTTATTCTCAACTTATTTTAACTTATGCAGCATGTTTTTAAATCACAGAGTCACAAGCAAGCTGTGAATGTCAATATCACTGCTTGGGTGAACACATGCAGCATGCATGGTTTGACTTTTTGGACCATTAAACGGCCTTTTCCTTCTGGTTAACATGTTGCATGTTACTGTTCTGACACATATTTTCTCTTAAATGCTTTAACTAATTACAGCAGGCAGTCAGCGCACCGACATATAGTGCTGTTGTCCCAAGTTCGAGTCCCATGCAGCTCGCAGACCTTTCCTGATCCAGTCCCCCCTCTCTCTCCCACTTCGCTTCCTGTCTACAACACTGTCCTATCCTAACAAAAGGCAAAAACGGCAAAAATAAAACTTAACAAATTAAAAAAAAAGAAAACAAATTACAGCACGTACATTTTTTTGACTGCACTGTCCAATAATTTTTAACGAGGTAAGCGCTATCCAGTTAGAAACAGTTAGAAACTTAGGACTGCACAAGTTCATTGGGTTGTCCAGCCTGAAATAAAAGCTTTTTTAACCCTACGCAACATTTATGAGAAAGTTCATGTTAGATGATGTTGCTAATTTGAAATATTTAATTTAAAGGGATAGTTCACCCATGTTGGTAACCAAACAGTTGACAGTAGCCAAACAAACAACAACAACAACAAAAAAGGAAGTGAATGGCTACTGTCAACATTTGGTTACCAACATTCTTCCAAATTTCTTCTTTTGTGTTCAACAAAAGAAAGAAACTCATACAGGTTTGGAACGACATGAGCATACGTAGATTATGACAGAATTTGCATTTTTGGGTGAGCCATCCCTTTAAATATGAGTGTGGCAGACAGTTTTTGAGATTTCAGGATTTCCCCATTCAGGTAGACAGGACTTGGACGGCCAAGGGACTTTGTTCTAATCTAAAACCTCATCGTTTCACACTGAGTTTCGTAACACTTTTAAAGCAGGGTTCAAAAATATGATAACCCAAGGTTAAGAGTCACATGAAAATCCCATTTAAAGCCCTTCAGAGGGGTAAAGTGATACTGGAATAGAAAAGGTATAGGTGCCACTCTATTAAAAAGTTTGTATATGATGATTTATGGCGGTATACTGTACTTCATTTCATGCACATATTTGTAACGGGTTTATATGAAATAGCTGAACATTGGGTGTCTTCAAGCTTTTAATCTTACAGTATATGCATAGTTATAATAATAATAAAAAATAAAAATAAAAAAGGTGAACAAATAATAATAACCTACTTGACAAGGTGACAAATTTGAGACTGGCGATTTGCAGAACAATCCTGTTCCTGAGACCTGTAACACTGTCAAGGTACCATTTCATTACTATTATCGACAGTTAGGAGAGTGATGGAAACAGTTTGTGATGCTGTCAGCCCTCTCTATAAATGACAAACCCCACCCATGACTGAATGTACTAAGTGCTGCTAAATGTCTAGCGTAAAAGCCGGCCTGTCACCTCCGAAACTAAATGTACAAAGACTTGTATTTCTTTTCTGGTATTTGACATTAATGCTAGTTTTTTGAAATACAGAGTTCTGAGAAAGTATAACGTGACAGGTCTGCTGAAGGAGGATACTTGTGCAGGAGTTTCTTAGCTAGGTCACTGGATGACAGGTACCAGGGATGCATGGTGAGAAACATTCGCACGAGCGACGGCTCCTTCAGAACGCCTTCATTGTCTGCGAGGAAGACAGAAAACCAGAGAGACATTTGCACATTAATCAACACAAATGCATTATTTTTCATTTAATATACTAATAGAATATAACTAGCTTGTAATTTTCTGTTCTCATAAAATAGTTTTTTATATCTATACAACATTTGTAATGGCTTTGCAATGAAAGCATCATAACATATTATGTAAAAACATTTATATTTTACTAAATGCACATTATAAGCCAGGCCTAATATACGACACTCAATTTTAAAGTAACAAGGGGCCCCTGCTCCATTTCTCTATCCACCAGGTGGTTGAATTGGATTGAAAAAAATTGAAGACCCCTGGGCAAAAGAAATTAACATGAGAAATGCTGAAGAGGTTCGAAAAATATTGAGAAATCGAAACATGTACATACAGTTAAACAAGCCAGTGTTGTTCCGACTGGCTGATCAGAGTGTTTACACAAGAGAAGGAGGAAGCAAATATGACCACTGACCAAAAGCTTTGATGCAGGCTTCCACCAGCTCATCCACGCTGGCTGACTGACCCGATGAAACGCTCTCCATCCCTTTCTACTTCACTGTTCTCCACAGCCCCTCCTCCCCCCCCCCCACTTAATTTTCCACTTCTCTCTTTGATCCTTCTCTTTTTCAGTCTGAAAACGAGACAACGCCATGCACGGCAAAGGAAACAGAATCAATAAAGCAGAGAATGGTTCAGATGTGAGAGGTGTCACTGGTTTTTCATTTTCATCAAAAGCAGACAAATCCTGGTCACACATGGATAATACGGTGGGACAAGACTCATCCAGAGAAAAACAAGGTGCATAAAAGAAAAAGAAATCAAAGATCCATAGGAACTGTTCTCAAACGAGAGTAGAAAAAAAAAAAAGCCTTAGAAACATTTTCAAAGGAACTTACCCGTTGAATCTGGCATCAATGGACAAACAGTGATCACTAAAGGTCTTTGAAAATAGAAGTGCTAATGAACGCAGGGCTTCAGTATAGCCTCTCTACCCATGCACTGAAAACTACACAGGGCCTCACTGGGGTTCACTCCGAGTACAGCTGCCTGTAGACTCAGTTTCCTGTCAGTTGAGAAACTTACAGCTGTTGCATTTCCTGTTCATAATGTTTTGAGATGGTTTTTTTTTTTTTTCACATTCACAACAAAAAGGGGTGGAGGACATGGGCTGAGAAAAAAAATGTAAAAAGTAAAAAAATTGTTATTGCAAAATTCAATGTTTTTATACTGGGTTCCTGTAAAAAAAAATATCTAAACTGCATTAGATATTAAGACATGTTTTCAGAGAATTCAGAGATTCATTTTTCTTACCCCCATTGGCCCTTTCATTTAATGTTTTATACTTAAAACAAGAAATAATAACCAAGAAAAGTATAAATATATAATCTTAAAACAAATAATTATAGCTTATTATGATTTTTTTCACAAGTAAATATAACTTTATTTATAAATAATAAACAAGATGCTGTACCTATCTATCTATCTATCTATCTAATAGAAAAATATTTTTATAATTAATTAAAATAAAACATTCTATGAAATTTTGCCTAATTTATGATAACTGTGTATGTGACTTTGTTTGTTTTAATGGTAAATCAGAGCATCACAGGACTGTGCTAATAAAGCACGGACACACATGTTTGACTATCCACAATGCACACTGCTGAGGGTGTGATCATTGTGAAACTGAACAGTTGTGTTGGCTCCCCTCAGCGGCCACATAGTGTCACACACTTTAATTTCTCAATCTGGCTATCACTGAAGCGTGAATTGAAATTTAGACTGAAATGTCAAATCATCTGTTTTATTGAAAAAAAAAAATCTTTCATCTAATACATTTTGAAAGCATTGTTTCAAACAAAGTTAAAATCTCGAGCCTGATGGAATAAAGAGAAACTGGTGTTATTTGACTTAAAATAAAATGTAATATATGTTAGTAATTATCAGTGGTGGACAGTAACGGAGTAGTTTTAATTCGTTACTGTACTTAAGTACATTTTTCAAGTATCTGTACTTTAATGGAGTAGTTTTATTTTGAGTAACTTTTACTTTTACTTCACTACATTCCAAAGCATAAGATCGTACTTTTTACTTCACTACATTTCATAAAACATATCGTTACTTCTTATAATATATCACGTGCTCTGACACGCAGAAGCGGTGTCTGATTCAAGAACGAACTGATTCTTTTCAATGAACCTTTTAAATCGGTTCGCAAATCGCACCAAACGATTCATTCACGAATTGGAATGAGCCGATTGCAGCTGTTCTCGAGTCGACAACTCACCGATTCAAATGAACCGTTTAGTGCGAGTCTCCAGTGAACTGAATTCACAAGTAAGAGTCGGTAGATCTTGTGATGCTGTTAAAAGTAAGTTACTAATTTCGAATTTTATAATTAATTATTGTAACTGAAAATCATATTTAGGTCAAAACTGTCAGTTGTTTGTGAACTAAATCTGCTGTAAAGGGTGATCTATTTAAGCCCACTGAAATGCTTGAATGCAGACATATCAACATCAGTGTCTCTGTTTTAGGTTAAAAAAACCCTGAAACATTAAAATTACACAGATTAAAATAACTCATGCACGTTCATATTCCCCGCTGCCGTATCGTTAACAGTTTTATTAAAATGCTATGCATTTAGCCCTATGTGACGTCTGTTTTTATATAGTTTATCAACAGTATACATTTTTATATTGTTTGGATTAACTAGCCGAGTAGACAGATATGAATGTTTATTCATCATGACCATACTGAAAATAAGTAAATATTGTTAGCTGATGCTAACTGTCTAGCTAACAAGCTTGCTGGTGCTAAATTGAGGTAATTTTTAGATATAAAGTCCAAATATTTTTATTCAACCACCTAGATAGATTACATCTGGGGGAAAGAAAGGATGTGATGTTCAGAACATAACTACAGTAATTATCAAAGTGGGAAGTGATGCCCTCTGGGGTCATTTGGCCATGGGTGTTTTTACACCACAGACAAGGTTTGAGAAGAAAAAAGTCATTATGAAAATATAATTATATTTTCCTTAAAATGTTCTTCCTAACTTCAGGCCTTATTCTCATGTCATATATAACTGTGATGTTCTGCAAAACAACAAGCTTTAAAACACTTTTTTCTTACTGGTGAAAATCAGATGGTCAAATGTGTAAGCGTCACAGTGAACATTACTACAACACTCTCGTCAATGTAGTCCACATCAACAACAAAAACATATCTTGACTCCATTTAGTGGTTCTTTTGGAAAAATCCCAGGTATTTTGAGCAGTAGGATTATAAAAAAATATGTGCGAATATCAAATTAAATTAAGTAGCCTATATAAAATTGCTAAATAAATCTATCTATCAGTACTTTTTTACTTAAGTACATAAAAAAATCGAGTACTTTTGTACTTTCACTCGAGTAAAATTGAAAAAGGAGTACTTTTACTTTTACTGGAGTAATTTTTTATTATATGTATCTGTACTTTTACTCAAGTACTTGATTTGTGTACTTCGTCCACCACTGGTAATTATCAAAAATATTTATACTGCAAAATTTAGCCTAGTGTAAATATAGCAACTTAGGAAAGATCTTTGACTAACTTATAGCCAAGATTCAAGTCTCAATTAATTGATTTATCTGGTTTTTAAAAAATTCTAGAAACTAAGGCAAAGATGTCTATTACGAACGGATTATTTATTTATTATTTTGCAGTGTAGGGGGCTGATGGATCCTTTTTTTTAAAGCACATCTTATCCGGTTCTGCTCTAAAGGATTTGGTACTGCAGGAGGTCTGCAGAGAAAAAAAACATATTACTATTTTCTTTAAAATAATAATAATAATTTAAAAAACACACTGTATTTTTAGTAAAATTATTGAATGTTAAATGACCTGACACGCATTATATAATGTAATAATGTTAATGTGTACAAAATGTGATTTGTTGGTCCCATGGTTTAGCTGAGAATCTGGGTTTGCAATTCTCTATGAAATAAACTGTTTTATAATTATAATCGCTATGATTTAAAAGTAAATTAATTTGAACAAGACTGAAAATTCATGTGTGGTGCTCAGCTGTTATAGAACTATGCAAACCGCATGCCGTTCAAATATCATGGGTCATTGCAGCTATTAATGTCTCGGGCTCCAGAGAGTTCTGCATTGTTGGAGTTGTAGTTCAACTTAAAATACATGTATCTATAATTAATTTTCACTTCTACTGCACATATTTATCAATCGAGTAAAAAAGAAAACACCGTGTCCTCATTTTCAAAAAGCGTAGTTAACTTATTGAAAGCTTAATTAGCGGATGGTTGCGCGCTAATCCCGCCCACTAATTAATATTCATGATGGGGACTTTAAATAAATAGAGCCGTCAGCGTTATATGCGTGCTATTGCGTGCGGTCTGGTGTTTATACACTTACCTGAACCCAAGACGAGACTGTTGTCACCATGTCTAAACCACTGTCAGACCACGACAGGAAAAAGCAGATTTCTGTGAGGGGGCTCGCCGGTGTGGAGAATGTGGCAGACCTAAAGAAAAACTTTAATCGCCATCTGCATTTCACGCTGGTGAAAGACAGGAACGTATCCACTAAACGGGATTATTACTTTGCGCTCGCGCACACAGTCAGAGACCACTTGGTAGGCAGATGGTTCAGAACACAGCAAAGTTATTACGAGAAAGACCCCAAAGTAAGTTTATGCATGTTGAGATTGCACCGAAACAAAAGCAAGTCCATGCATGACACGACTGCAGCAAAACAAGGCATTTTTATATGCAGTTAATAACTACACGAGTCAATGAAGCTCTAATAGCATTCCATGCCATTTGTGCAATCGAAGAGGGTTGCAGTAGCGATGCCCTGCTTGACCACACAGCATTGTTGACATTTGTGCCCTTCTTCACTTGAGAGCTCTTCAGGTAGACTGAGATCAGCACCCTATGCAAAATATAAATAACCAGGATTCACTTATGGATCAAAAACAAAGTGCAATTTTAGCACATCTTTGATAGTAATAATTTTTGCAATGATTTCAACTAGCGTTAACATATAGATCTCAACTTTGGGAACATAATTATTTAAGATGATCAATAGCATGAGCTGTACATTACTAGAACAATAATGCATCTCCAGATTATTGTGCTCTGTCATGTGCATGCATAAAGCATCTTCAATCTTGATGCTGGTGATTTTTCATCTTTAAATAACAAAGCAACAATATTTTCGTTTTAACATCTATTTTATACTTGATCTGTTTCACGGCATATTTCATAGAAATGTAATAGGGGGACATTTGTTATAGATTTTATAAATATTAAAACGACCAAGAGGCAGAAAAAGAATGTGTCAGTATTCAGGGCATCAAAATCTGAGTCTGAAGATGGGAGATGAAACCACAGCTCAGCATCCCTGACCTTTTCCTCTCTAGTCCATCCCGAAATCCCTGCATTGAAGAGGTGTCTAGGATATAAAGGTCAAAAGTTGCTCCCTAAAAGAAAGGTCACTGTAGAAACATATATGGGAAGGAGAAGTGACATGTAATTCAGCCTTATAATAAATAAGAGTTACATAAAGACTGTACAAACCATTTTACAGGAAATATCATAACCAAAAATGACCTGGACTTCTTCGGAGCATTCCATTCTGGTCCTTTTCCCATAGGTGGACATCAGCAATAAACCTTGATTTGATCATTAAAAGCTCCAATGTGGCTCATGACTGTTTCCTAGAAAATGTGACTGCAGAAGTGACGCGAAAAACCGGTTCCATGAGTTCAAAGCTTTTGGATGCCATGAAAGTACTGGTGTGAGCAGAAGCGTGTGGTTTACCTGGACATTGCCATCTTTTTTTATAGTTTAAACTGTTTTCAACATCTTGTACAACACATTGGTCTGCACTAAGACCTT